CCGCCGTTCCTATCATGCCGGTCAGACAGGCTTCCCAGAAGAGCGGGGTGGGGGGGAGACGTTTCTGTAATGTAAATGAAGGAGTGAATCTCTGAACAGTCGGGCTGTGTTGGCCCAGTTTCCATTGGATGAGCTGCTGACTGAGATGACTGTCAATGAGTGATGGGGGTGGTCTGTGGGGTGGAAGTCAGGACTATGAGACTTCGTTCCTATCATGCCGGTCAGACAGGCTTCCCAGAAGAGCGGGGTGGGGGGGAGACGTTTCTGTAATGTAAATGAAGGAGTGAATCTCTGAACAGTCGGGCTGTGTTGGCCCAGTTTCCATTGGATGAGCTGCTGACTGAGATGACTGTCAATGAGTGATGGGGGTGGTCTGTGGGGTGGAAGTCAGGACTATGAGACTTGTTTCTGGTTGCCCTTGGTGGAGGTAGCTGACTAACTGCAATTCTTATCCTGAAATTACTCACAAGTACCGTATTCATTCTTTTCACAAAATATCTTCTTTCTGAATTAGACTTTTCTCCATCCCCCTCCACTGAAAGGGCCTTGCTTTGCTTACACAAGTGTACAAGCCTTTCCATAGTTCAGGGGTGTTAATTATTTCCTCAATACAAATGTATTGACTACTTTAAATGGAAGTATAGATCATTAAAAATCCATATTGGTACAGAGCCTCCAAGTATAGCTATGTCTCAGCAATGAGGAAATGTACCAGTTGGTGTCTTTATAACTCATAATTAAAGTCTCTGTTTGAGTTGCTAGGGAGCCTGGTCTCAACTTGATTCAAAAGTATTTCTTGGCTAGAAAGAACAGATTACTTGAGAGCATTTTGTCAAGTCTATACTTGACTTTTTTTTAAATTTATTTCTCTTGTTTGAACTCAAAACTTGTTCTTACTTTCCTCTATTGGAAAATGGCAGCATCAAGCTTGAGGTTCTAACCATTTTCCTGTAGCTAAAAATATAAGTTTTAATGTAGCTTGTAGAATTAGCCACTTTTTAACAAATTCAGGTATTGCATGTTTTTCTAGTTAAACTATCCTGAGCTTTTGAAGATGATGTGATTTGAGTTGAGTTCAGGTGCTTTCATAATACTTTAAGGCCCAGCAAATTCTTGACCATCGGAAATGTCATGGACCTTTTGTCTTGTACTACAAAGATTTAATGGGGGGACTCAGTGATTCCCAAATTGGGGGTCCTGACCCAAAAGGATCACAAGATTATTGTGGGAGTAGTCAGAGGGTTGTCACCCTTACTTTTGCATACTGCTGCTTGAAGAGTTGGGCCTCTGTCAGCAGCTGCTGCTCTCTTGACTGCTCTGAAGGCAGCAGTTCAGAAATAAGGGTGGCAATGCCATACCATGTCATACTTGCTTCTGTGCTGCTACTGACACCAGCTCTACCTTCAGAGCTGGGATCCTGGCCAGCAGCTGCTGCTCTACAGTAGCCCAGCTCTGAGGGCAGCATTGCTGCCAGTGTCCGCTCAGAAGTAAGGGTAGCAATGCTGTGAACCACCCAACTCTTTTTTGGGTCAAGACCAGTATAATTACAACATTGTGAAATTTCAGATTTAAATAGCTGAAGTCATGAAACTTTAAAAAAAAAAATCTTAACTGGCCACTTTGATCAATTTCACATACATTTGGTAGGCCCTTATTGTACTGCATGAGTTCTTGTTTGGTATGGTTCACCTACACGCAAGCTGTATCCAGATTTGTGCCATATTTTAATAAAGGGCTGTTGCAATTTCAGAATTGCACATGTGCCCTAGACTGAATTGATATGTTCAGTCTGTTGCTTTTCTCTTTGCCCATGGGCTTGGTTCTAATTTCAGAGCAGTCAAATAGATGCAGATAGGAAAATCCAAGCACTTCATTGTAGTGCTTTATATAGTTAAGCAGCAGTGGTCCTGTAACACTAAAACAAAAAGCACTTAAAGCACCAAAAGGGTTGCCATGTTAGTCTTTAAACTTTAACATCAACACTGAAGCAGATTTAGAAGCTAGCTGTTTAAACATACATGTAGCTTCCAATGAGCCTACAATTGCTTGCTTTGGTATGAGGGGGGTGAGAAGACTAATAGAATTTCACCAGACTCTCTCACTGTGCTGATGTGGTCGCTGGTCTAAGCATCTAAATACAGTTGGGTTTCTCCGGAAGAGGCGTGCTAATTTAGAACTTTGGAATAGGGAAATCTGCGGGGGATTTAAATATCCCCTGCGGGATTTAAATAAACATGGCCGCCGCTTTTTTTCCGGCTTGGGGAAAAGCTTGAAAAAAGCATCTAAACTGGCGCGATCCTCCGGAATAAAGCCCTTTTCTGGAGGATCTCTTATTCCTACTTGATTCCGGAGGATCGCACCACTGTAGATGCTTTTTTCCGGCTTTTCCCCAAGCCGAAAAAAAAGCGGCGGCCATGTTTATTTAAATCCCGCAGGGGATATTTAAATCCCCCGCAGATTTCCCTATTCCAAAGTTCTAAATTAGCACGCCTCTTCCGGAGAAGGGGCCAGTGTAGATGTAGCCTTGTTGTTTTTTAAATTTTAGCCTGGCTGGTAGATGCTTAACAGAGCTATATAGAAATCACTGTTCCTTCAATTATTCCATCACTTTTCAGAATTGGCCAACTGGCACTAAAGTTTAGTGCCCCATATTAAGAAGGAAAGCTCTGCTCTGTTAACCTTTGAACCATTGCTACCTGTGACCTTTGAGATGTACGTGGGATTTCTTTGTCAAGCATTCAGCACATTTCTGATCAAGGGAGAGGTATGGCTCCCAAGGGCTGGTCCCAAGAAGATTTCTTACAGGGGAGTTGTACAGGATATGTAGAAAGGACATTGTGAATGTCATTTGATCCTGCTAGACTTTCTAGGGGGAGTAGGGGGACTGCATCTGGCTTCACTGCTGAATTTGAGAGCTATCCTAAAGGAGTGTTGCTATTGACTTTTTTGTTTCACTCTGGCTCACCATTGTTCCTTGTTCTGCAAGATCTGTGGGATGCATACAGTGTAAGTAGTTAGGATTATGTGTGTGTTTTAAAAAAAAAAGGGCTATATACTCTTTTGTTCCCACATATTAGTAGATAGTTGGACTGTGTTAAAGTCTCCTTCTGAGTATCTTAAGCACTGAAGTCTGTTCCCCTTTTGTCAGTGGAGCCTTGCTTATTGGCCAAGAGTGGGAGCGGGTTTCATTGTGACTGGCTGGTATTCCTGGGTTTCACTCTGTCATGCTTGGTAGAGCTGAACACTACACTCTGTTCCAGATCCCAACTGAGGAGAGTGAGCTGTCACTGTAAAAGTTCAAAACCTCCTTTAACTTTGAACTACTAGGGGTTGGGGGAAATCAGCTTAACTGTGTGGTAAGCTTTGCTCCATAGGGCTAATTTTGTGTATAGCCTTCTACTAAAAGGGGATAATAAAGAGTTAAATTTACTGTTGTTGACCCTATCTTGTAAATAAGAGGAAAGTAATCAGTGAGGGGGCAACCATGACTAGTAAGTGGGCCACATGTGGCCTGTGGACCCCTGCCCCATCAGCTCCCCCACACGTCTTGTGCACTGGAGCTCCTCACAACCTACTCCTCCCTGTCCCTCCCAGAGCTTAAAAGCCACAATGGGAGAAGTGTGGACAGAGCGTGAATCAGCAGATTCTTGGCACTCAAAGTTCTGGGAGAGAGTTGGAGGAGTAGGTAGTGTGGGTTCCAGTGTGTGGGAGATGCATGGGGGGGGCAGACTGAACCCCAATGAGCTGCATTTGGCCTCAAGGCTGTAGGTTGCCCACTACTGCTTTAAGTGGATTAACAGGTCTAGGGTGTCAAACATAAGCATTGATCCCACATGAAAGATTGATTTACCATTGGATGTTTTGATTTTTTTTTTCTTTTTAGTCTGTAAAGACAGTTAGGCCAATTAACTTGTTGCTCATGACTGTTGTAAACAGCTCAGTAGTTAATAATTCTAAAACCTCTTATACTGTAGAGAAATTGGATTAGCCAGAATTTTCCTTTAATAGGAAGGCTTTATTTTTTTGTAGACTGACCACAATCATTTTCTGAAGGCCTGGGCTAGTGCTCCTCTACTTTTAGTGCTGCTAACACAATGTTGCTGGCTGATGAATGGAGTCCAGAGTACTAGCCTGTTAGTGTCCTCTAACCCAAAATGTCCATGCAAATAAAATTATAATGTGACAAATGTGGAAGCTTTTAATAAAGAAAATGGGGGTGGGAACACTTTCACTACTGATTTGTCAGTCGAAAAATCCCCCCCCCCCTTTTTTTTTCAAAGAGGAATTCAGGTTGTGGTCTTCGGATCACGATTTTAGATTTTGTCTAATCCAGTGGTTCCCAGCCTTTTCAGGTGGGGATCCATTTTGACAATTGAGGAAGACTTGGTGGCCCAAGGCAATTAAAAACAGGGGGAGGAGGGAGGGCAGAGCTACCTGGGGAGACACTTGGTGACCCTTTTGAAATGTAATGGAGACCCATATTTGAGTCCTGACCCATAGGCTGAGAAACCCTGGTCTAATCCAATGTAGTAAAACTGCTGTTAGCCTGTGTTCCTTTTGATTTAAACTGTTAATCTTTGACTGCTATCCTTTAATATCCTTGTGCCTTCTTCCTTTCCTTGCTGTTTTCCAATATTGTATATACTTTGTTTCCTCTTGCTGCCTCTTTTCCAAACAATACTGACTACATTTCTCCTAACCTTTCTTTGAAACACTGAATTTTCTTGCTCTTGCATTATACTGATACAGTAACTGCATACATTGTTACATATGTGCTAACTATTTTCTACAGTTACAGGATTTGTGACTTGACTTCAGGATCTAGTGAGGCAAATGTATGAAATGCACAATTAGAAAAATTCTTTGAACCCCCCCAGAGATGAAGGTCAAATCCTGATGTGTTGCCAAGGAACATGCAAGGCATCCCAAATATCTTATTTGTGTGTGTTCTGTATTAGTTTCCATGATGAGGCTTCTTACAGGATGGGGAATATTGTCTAACTTTGAAAAGTGCTGTCTAAGCATTGATCCAGCATAACTGCCTGAAAGACTGCAACTTTAGTTTGCATAATGAGCTCGTCAGTTGTTTCTCTGCTCTGCAGTCTGTCTGATCAGACCTAAAATGATAAGGCTGCATTGAGAGACCCCAAAAAACTGCGCTTTTTTTAGGGAAATCTGTTGGATTGCTTGAGTAATCTGGGAATTTCAAATATTTTCTCACTTTTGTAGTTTAAATTGTGTATTTAAAACAACATCCAGATATGGTACTTTTACCACTATATGCCCTGGGAAGCTGGAGGCAGAGCAGCTCCAATTGTCCAGCTGGCCAGAGCACTTCTGGGTTCCAGTTGGTGCCGGACTATGAGGACCACTGGATGCCAGACAGTTTGCGTTTTACTGTATCTGGAGATAGAAGTAGTAAGAAAATTGGGATAGAAGCAAACACTAAATCTTAATGTTACTCACAGCCCTTAATAGTTGTAGTGGGCAGGAATGTGGAAGCTACATGGTAAATGGTCAGATAAGCAAGGGCTAACTAACATTTCCAATTGGAACAACAGTTACTGTGATTTCTGGGCGCTGCAGGAATATTTGGGTTTTGCTCTGTTTCTGGTATATAATGTGCACAGCGTGGGTGAGATGAAACCGTATTAACTAGGACTGAACTCTGGCACTTAAGGAATTAACCCTTGTGTATTACAAAATCCCATTGATGGGTAGAAAAACATAGACTTGATTCAAAAATTTGATGCATTGCTCTACGTGAGCCAGCAGCAAGCCAAACTTTCCTTTCAACCTCTAGCCTCTGCCAGAGTGGCAAGTTAGCCATTCAACCAAATTGTTGTTTGAGCCTAACAATAGAAGGGCTATTTTTTAGGGATAGCCTAACATTGATCGGATGACTTGGAAAAATAATTTTAAAACCAAGTCCAATGTCCCCTTTTTGGCAGGAAGGGATTGAAGGTGAACAGGAGGGAAAAGTGGCATTCCAGGAGCATTCTTCAAAACCTCCAAAAGACTGACAAATTGGTAGTATTTTTTTGTGTGTGGCAAATGACCAAACCAGCTGACGCTACATTTTTGTTGTACATCTAACTTGTACTATCCAAAAGGAAATCCTTTTAAGAGACTATCTGGCTGGCCATGTCAAGCAGAGACTAGGGATGTCAGTATGCAGTTGACTACACAATTAACCGACAAGCCTGGATTTACTGGTTAATTGTGTAATCTGCTCTATCAGAGGCAGCAAGTGTGCAGCGTGGGGGAGGGAGGAGGAGAGGCAGGACCTAGCTTTTAAACCAGCTCCCCATAAGCACCAGATCCTACAGACCTGCCCTTCCCCCTGCCCCTGCCCTGCTGCCTCTGATAGAGGCAGCAGCTAGGGGGGCAGGTGGGAGCTGGTGCACATGGGAAGCTGACTTTTAAGCCCCCTAACTGCTGCCTTGATCAGAGGCAGCAGTATGGGAGGGAGGGCCAGGGGAGTCTTCTGTGGAGCAGCTTCTGTTCCTGGCAGGACCAGCTTTGCTACAGACAGAGGCTGCTCCATGGGATGCTGCTGCAGCCTGTCTGGGGAGCTCAGGGTGGAAGGGGCACTGTCAGGGGCAGCTGCCACCCCATGCTGCAACCTCAGTATCAGAGGTGTCAGTGTAGAGTGGTGTGGGGCTCCCTGGGAGTGGTGCTGGGAATGCACTGGCTGCAGGCCTCACCCCTGGGGACTATTGAATGATCAAAAAAACTGCTAAGTTTTGATGTGGTTTCATGGTTATATAAATTAATCGATATCTAACATCCCTAGTAGAGACCCTCAGTGCTAAAGCAGAACTTCAGACCTGTCCTTTTTGGGTAGTGATCAAAAGCTATCACTAACATCCCTTCATAGCTGATGTCCATTGTACATTTGTTTGTGTCCACCTGCCAAATCACCACTATAACTAACTGCTAAGTTTTGATGTGGTTTCATGGTTATATAAATTAATCGATATCTAACATCCCTAGTAGAGACCCTCAGTGCTAAAGCAGAACTTCAGACCTGTCCTTTTTGGGTAGTGATCAAAAGCTATCACTAACATCCCTTCATAGCTGATGTCCATTGTACATTTGTTTGTGTCCACCTGCCAAATCACCACTATAACTGA